GGGGGGGGGGGGGGGGGGGGTGTGAGAGTGTTACTGCCAATTTTCAAATAACCATAGTGGTCATGCTAATAGAATCTCGCAATAAATGTTTGCTCCTTTCTTAATTTGTTATCTATTTAACTACTGGCATGCTATTGGAACATCTGTAGATTTATTTATGCCATGTGTTTGTAGAGCACAATTTATTTGGGATCATAATGGACATTGGACAATCACATTTTAATGAAGTTACTGCTGGTTAAGTTAGCAGTGTTTAACCTACATTCATATGTGGGATATGCAATCAGAGTCTAGGTAGTATTGTTTACAGTTTCAAAATTTTAGTGCTTGTGTTCTAGTGGTGGTTTGGTTTGGTTATTTTTCCTAACAATGGTAAAAGAGGGAGAGAAAAAGTGAGATTATTGTGTTCTCTTAAAGATTATACGTTTATTTTGTTCAGAACGTTATCTTGCATGAAACTTGCATCTAGTTGATGATCCTGCAACATCAAACTATTTCAATATAATAATGAAAATAGTGATGTCATTTATAGAGTCCTCGACCTGGACCCTTGTTTGATTTGGTTGTTCCTCTTTGCCCTAATCATTATTATCTTCAAAACACGCGCAGGCTGTTAAAGAAACGGGACACAAGTTCAGGGAGACCATTCTTGCTCTTGGAGGTGGCAAGGCACCACTCGATGTAAGAAGATACTACATCTATCCTAATCTGTTTTGTGCAGTTTGAAAATAAGACAAGTTCAACATACATATGACTTATCCTATGTTTCTCTAATGTGTTGAACATGTAATGCTGCTGCATGCAGGTTTTTGTGCAATTCCGTGGGCGAGAACCAACCCCAGATGCATTGCTCAGACACAATGGCCTATTGCCAGTTGCAGCTTCGTCATAGATTTGCCCATTTTTATACTCAATAAATGGGACTCGCAATTACCAAAAAAAAAGAAAAATGGACTCTAACCTTTTTTATTTCCTGTGTAGTTTTTGTTACGTTTTTAAACTTTAATTTACAACATTTAAAGGAATTTATTTTGAAATTAATTATTATCCTACCATTGACTTTTTAATATCTGTGCACTATTAGTAAGAAAAAAAAAATACTCAACAAATTAAAAATTGTGATAGATATGATTTTTAAGGTAGTTATTATAAAAATTAATAAGTTTATCATATATGATAATTTGATAATTTGTAATTAGATGATAGTGTTAGGTACATTATGTATTTTGTTTTTACCACTTAAACCAAAACCTTTTTCAACCTAGAAAAAGAAATTAACACCCAGTGATCGATGAGCCTAAAATAACTAGTTAGATGAATATGAAAGCTACTTTCTAACAACTCGTATTCCTTGCCTTCACGTCTTGACTCTTGCGAAGTGGTGGATGGATGATGGGTGACTAAGTGGGTGGGCTATGTACCATAAAGATACCTACTCTTTCAATTTTATTTTCAAAATTATTTCTGATTTAAGTAGCAAATGACGAATTAAAATGAAATTTAGCAAGTAAATGTATCCTTGCCGGTACTCAAGTTGCTTGGGAAAGGAAGGAAGAAATTACACGAATCTAAATTTAAATACATAACAGGAGTAACGTCATTTCAGAATAAATTATGTATTGCTAAATGAATCTAAATTAAAAGTATTTATGTACTTGAAGGACTGAAAGGATCGTTCAATCTTTAATGATATTTTTATTCATTTAGAAAATTTAAAAATCATATAATGAGAAGTGTCATTATTATGATGAAAGGCTGAACTTCAATTGAAAGATGGGGTTAGGTTAGGTTAGATTAACATTTTATATCTTTCATTTGCTTCACTGACAATCAAGTAAGTTGGTATTTCAACCATGAAGTCAACCCAACGTACTCAAGTCCTCCATTACTTTCCCTTTGGTCGGTAGGGTAAGCGTGTCATTATTCAACTCACTTTGTAACTTCTGCCACCACAAAAAAGAAAACAAAAATCTGCATATCCTTTTTACTGTCAAAAAAAGCAGAACAAATACCTTTCAATTAAATTACACAAATCATAAATGAATATCATAAAAATAATTGAATATCAGAACCTGTCAACTAATGATTTAGTTTTTCAGTTCCACTTATCATTCTCATCGTGTCAGTGGAAACTATTTACCGCCTTATTTTGAAATCTTAAAAAAAAGGTTGTTACTTATCATTCAGGAAGTAAATAGATTTCAGAAACTGTTAAAAGAAGTTATTACCAAAAAAAAAAGATTAAAAATTATGAATTAAATTAAAGCACAGTGTAATTTTTTCCCCACAATTATAAGAGTGTAAATTATATTTATGAAAATTAAACTCAAAAAATATATCTTTAGTCATAAAAAAAAAAAACATAATTTATGTATGGGAAGCAAACCGTGAATTATAATCTGCATAGTGCATTAGATCTGAAAACGCGGGTAAGAAGAAGAAGAAGAAGGAAGAAGGAATGGCTCGTGCAGGAGGCATAACAAACGCAGTAAACGTGGGAATCGCGGTTCAAGCCGATTGGGAGAACCGCGAATTCATCTCTCACATTTCTCTTAACGTTCGTCGCCTCTTCGACTTCCTTGTCCAATTCGGTACACGCACTTTTCCCTCTCTTCCAAACGACCCATCACGCTGTCGTTTCATCTATCTTTGAAACAACACCGCCATTTTCTTCTTTACGCCATTGGGTATCCCGTGGGCGCTGGGGCACATTAGATCACATCTCAAAGTTTGAATTTTTATTCTGCCCCTTTGACACGCCCTTTTCCTTTGGTTCTTTCAGAGGCTACGACGAAGAGCAAGTTGGCGTCTTTGAATGAGAAGCTGGATGTGTTGGAGCGAAGGTTGGAGATGCTTGAAGTTCAAGTGGGCAATGCTTCGGCCAACCCTTCTCTTTTCGCTACATGATTTTGTGTTGTAATACGGCTTCCCAGTAAGCACTCTCCACCTATAATGTAAAATTCTAAATGGAAATCTTGTTATGTAAGTTGTTTCTAAATCAAATGTGAAGTGTTCTATTAGTGTCATTTTTTTTAACTCTAGCTCTTGGTTTTGCAATTTATTGGGTGATCATATAGTTAACTGCATTGCTTTATTTGCAACTTTGGAGTAACGAAACCGTATGGATCATAAACACGAGTTGTTGCAATTGTCGGATTGTTACCCTGTTTGTGTTTGCCATGTGACAATGCCTTTTAATTTAGACCCTTCCAATGCAGACATGTGTTTTCACTGCACATGCCTTGTGCTTAAGCTTACATGATTGTGTTCTTCTGCCACCTCAGTTTCATTTGTGACATACTTTCACGCGTGACTCAATCACTTTAGGTCTAGGAAGTCAGTCATCTTAGTTGTATAAATGGAAATTGGAAAGAATACATCAATTGATTAAGAGTATTGCTATACCTTCCATTTTGTAGGAAAACGGAAGCTCAGTTGGCAGAATATGAATTTCTTCTTGTGAATAGTAATGGATGATAACGGTCTCCTGAGTTTGACATTTTTCCATATACACCTTGAGGAAGGAATATTATCATTATCCCTAAGATATTTCACATTCTTAACAACATTATTTTTAAGACATTGGGTAACAACTGGGCCTCACTTGTCTTTCTTCTGAATGACTCAGATTCTGCTCAGTCTCATTTCTCTTACAAAATCTCTTTTTCTTCCTCTTCTTTTGCTTGTTTTCATTCTAGTTCTAGTTTGAGTGTTCTGAAAGAGACATAACTCAATATGGAAGAAACAGTGTAGTTTATGAAGCTGAAAATGCCAAACTCTTGGTGATTAGTTGTTCAACATGATTGTATAGGTCAAATTTTCCTTGGAGGGGAAAAAATATTGCCACTTTACTGTAAATGCAGAACTCATGCCAGCATTTTAATCAGAAAGCAATTCTTATGCGAACTTTTAGTATTTCTACTGCTTAACACGGCAGATATGCTGTCACTATAATTTCAGAGCTTTTCTTGGTATTGTCTTCAGCTTATTATTTCTTTAGATGCGGCGTATTAGGGATAAAAAGGGGAGGAAGAAGAGTGTACGAACTGGCTCTTTGTACTAGTAATTGTCTGTCAAATTCAGAAAAGGATAAATCTTTTCCCCCCTCTTTTGTCAGAACCGAAAAAGGAAAAAACTTTGATTGAATCAGGCGCCACTGACAATGTCTTTTTCCGTACATTATCCCATTCAATACAGCACTAGGACATTTGTTCAAATATGATTTATTTGGTCTAAGGACGTTCTGAAGGTATCTATTCAAGCATATTAAAAATGAGAAATTTTATTCCTACACTTGTTTTCTATAACTTTTTCTACGATTAGGAGAAAGATAAGGAGATAGGGTGAGATAAGATAGTAATGTTAGAGAATATTAAAAAACAAGTCATAAACAAATGTTATAGGAATATGTTGTAATAATACAGAACTCATTAAAAATTATGCACTATAATAATCAATCATTTGTTCAATACCACTGACGAAATGGACGTTTCAGGGATGCAATCAGTTCAAGGAAAAGAGGATGGTTGGTTTCCAATAAAATTGTTTTTGTTAAATCTTTTTAGTAGAGTTGTTTCATAAAATATAATAAAGCCCTATGCTTAGACTAATAATTTGATGCTGATAAATAACACTGATTTACAAATTATTAGTATCTATATGAAAAAAAAAAAAAACTTAAAAAACTTGAGTTTTAGTTCTTAAAAGAGCAAGTTTGTAACAGCCTGGACCAATTCATACTAAGAAAGGCGCATAGGAATTGAAACTTCAGTTTTTTCATTAAGAGACCGGTTCCTAAATAAGTATCACTTAAAGGGACTAAATGATTAGTTTAACTAAATCCTTTTCCCCCTCTGGAACAGCCTGAAACTTGAAAAAAATTTGTTAAGATTTGAATTTTGATGAATGCTACTTAAGAAACATCCCGTTCAGTTAAATGTAACTGACCTTTCTGCTCAATACATCCTCATCCTGAAACCATTGATTTAGGAAGATCTAACACAATGAACGCATGTTGAAGTGTCTTATGGATTAAATCGCAATCAATTTTGTTTATGCAATTTTTTACCAGTCAAGGTTGGACTTGGCAAATGATATGGCTTTTTGCATTTGACCAGTTTATCCTTTTTTTCACTCATTAAAAAATGAGGCTGAGCAAGAGAAATTTAGTTTCAAGATGCATAGAGTGGATGAAAGTACAAATTACAAAAACGAGTAATGTTTTCTTTTTTACCATTTGAAATGTATTATGACAAAGGCAGAGTTATGAAAAACGAATGAAAAGAATTCCATTTTCACCCATTTACTATCTCGGCTGTGGGTGGGACAAGGCTTGGGTTGTGATGGTTGATTCTGCTGTTGATGAAGTTGAGGGCAACACCCTTTTCTCTATGACAATAGAGTAGCGGTTGGATCCTCCAAGGCTGTCTATGGACTTCATGTATTCTGATGCATTGTTTTCTATGATGAGAGCATCCTCTAACTCGCGGACAATGTCAACCATGCATGGTCTATATGCTGATAAGGGTTCAAGACATTGCAGTGCTACTTCCACCACTCTCCACATTGCCTCTGCATGGTATCCTCCCTTGATGCCAGGATCCACAATTTCATCCACCTTTGATGCTCTTATATATGGTTTAGCCTGCAATGTATGCAAAGTTATTACTTCTTAAACAAGTGAACAAAATGTGATCTGGGTATTATTAGTAATCTATTAAAAATAAATAATTTTGGGCATGGAACATACCCATTCTACCAAGCTCCACTCATTTCGTGGTCTCTTTATGTCAAGAGGTTCCCTACCACTCACAATTTCAAGTAAAACCACGCCAAAGCTGAAGACATCGCTCTTCTCAGATAACTGCTGGGTTTTGTAGTACCTGCATGGGGATAAATTTCAACTATAGTGAAAGTTGTTCAGATCATAGTTGCATTCTGTAACACAGGAAACATATAGGACTAGGAGTGTCAGACTCTTCTTCATCTGATATAATTTCCCCTTATAATCTGTAGTTACTGATATATGGAACAGTCTAGTTTCTGTATGTTAATGAATAAATATATACATCATAAAGGGAATATAATTAGAAACATTTCTTCAATCTCACTGAGATTGACAGTGACTTTATGACACTAACACAATGAGATAAACAATAGGAGAGTCTGAGCAGTCTTTTTTGCATATAATTTTCTTTTTTGCTTTTTAGGGCCTTTTCTTTTTTCAAGATGATTCCTTGAAACCTTTATGTGGAAAGTATAATAAATCTTTAGAGGAGTAAAACTGTATGAGAAGTTCAGGTTAAGACATGATCCAAGATGTCCACTTACTCAGGATCCAGGTACCCTGCAGTTCCTCTTACTTCAAGGGAAACATTACTGTCTCCTTCCTGAGGAGCATATTTTGAGAAACCAAAATCCGCAACCTTAGCACTCATGCTATGATCCAGCAGTATATTGCTCGATTTCACGTCCCTGTGTATTACTGAACGGCCTGGGAACGTGTGAAGATATGCCAAACCTGCTCAATCAGAAAATTTGTTAACATTCTATCGTCAGAAAAATGTTATATGAAAATTATGAAGTTAGCCAGGTCAGCAACTGAGTTAATCTTGAGAAAAAAAATTAGACTATTGAGTCAAAACTAGTTTTATGAGGTTAAGTTAGGTTCAAACCTATATTTTAAAATGATATTAGAGCCTATTATAAGGATTATTATTCGACCTATCATGTCACTCACTATTAAGCCGTTATTTGATCACTTGAAGATATTCAATCATGCAAACTTTATGTTTGAGGTGTTCAATCTTTGATGTGAGAGAATTATATTAGAGATCCAAATTTTAATAGAGATATGACTAAAATGGCATATAAGTGGTGAATAACTCTTACCTTACAAGTTAATTTTGTTAGGTTGAGTTATGTCTAAACTCACATTCTTAAAACTTATCTTATTTTAGTCTTAGTGCCTATGGGCTATGGCCACACCTAGCTTATTGCATATTCTCGATCTTGTTCACTGTTCGTTTAAATTAGTTTTATGATTTGATCTGTATGATCCAAGCTTTAGTGTTGATTAAGGCATATGGTGAAGCCAAGTAAAATAAAGCATGATATTACTTGCCTCGAGCTGCACCAAGAGCAATAGAGAGTCTAGTTGGCCAGTCTAATATTTTTCTCTTTGCAGGTTCCCCTGTTGTCAAGTTGAATTTTAGAATTATTGGGTACAAAACCAAATAACCTGAAAGAATTTTGGAATGTTTACCATATAGTCTATCTTGCAAAGAACCATTGGACATGAAAGGATACACAAGAATTTGTTGATCATTTTCATTACAGTAACCAAGAAGAGGCACCAAGTTCTCATGCTGTATTGCAGAAAGTAGGTTTAGCTGCACAGTACACCAGAGACTGGTCAGATGGTATGTAAGGGCTGGGGATGCAGTGACAAAAGGAGAAGATTTTATATTCTTTTTTAGCATTTGCCAGGATGCAAACATCAGCCTTTGAATTACTCTTGCAAACTAAAACTTTTTAATTAGAAACATTTCATGGAAACTTCAATACATCTAATAAACTAGAAATGCCTGTTGTACCTCATTATCAAATTCTCGAGTTCCCTGAGATGATGTGGCTGACCGAACTTTCACTGCTACTTCTTGTCCATCGTTTAGAGTGCCCTGGTAAACAGAGCCAAACCCTCCTTCACCTATCAAAGTTTTATACTTCTCTGTGGCCATCTCTATATCTTCCAAAGTGAATGTTTGAATTGCAAAGGATTTTATTAAGAAATCATCTTTGCTGGGCAAAGAGAATATCATATCTGCATATTTTTTGTAGAAAAATGTCATATATACACAGTGAAGAATGAACAAAACCTATATGCTAAAATCAGTATTTCCCTCACAACATAATAAAAAATACATTGATATCAATGTTCTTCTACACAAATATATCATCTGTTTGTTGTCCTTGAAATTCTCATTATTAGTTGTGCAAAGTGCACAGGTATTATACTAGTCATTTATGGAGAATTTTTCACAAAATATGTTGAATTTTTAATGTATTTCCCCCCTCATTAATTTCATCATTATACACAACATTAAGTGCAAGTTCCCGACTGAAATGATAGCTTGACCTTAAATTTGCGTTAGTTGTGTATGGGTTACAAGCGAATCTACAGAAGAAAAGTGGATTTAATCTTAGGGGACAGGCTATGGTAATCTATAAACAGTGAAGGATAATGCATTTGAATGATATATGGCTCCTTAAGCCTTTCTGCAGAACAGTAGAAGCTTATTCATATTTATTTTGCACGTTTTTTAAAGTCAATAGAAGTTAAAGACTAATTCTCTCTTTATGTAAGACCATGCACTATAATGAAGGTGACATTGTTAAAGACAGTTGATCTTATGATATGAGATTGTCTTTAAAGAATGAAATGAGTATATTTTTTGTTTGTTAATCTTTAGAGCAAATATAATTTTAGAATGCAGAGTCACATAGGATATCAAGGATTACAATTTACAAAAGACAAAAGGCCTACTTGTTTCCATTAAGTAGTTCTTTCCACCAAATCCTTCCCATGGAATCAACTTTTTTCTGTAGCGGCAAACAAAAAGGATTCCAACGGCCAAAGCAATCAAAAGTGATCCACATGCAATAGCACTGATGACGAATACTTGTCCAAATCTAGGTTCTTTTGCTTTGCATCTTCCGTAACTGAAACATTAATGTTAAAAAAAAAATCAACTCATGCTTTGCTTTTAAAAAAAAATTGTTTTGTTTCAGAGAGTGCATCAGCATCATACTCTGTATTGATTAGTGAACTGTTCAGTTTTGCTGGATCCTCTTCGCTCATGTGTTGGTTGCAGCGAAAATACCTGTAGATGAATAAAAATACAAGCTAAAATCTTGGAAAGTACATTAAAAAAAAATTTACAATAAAAAAAAACCATCTTCCTGGTAAA